ATATGTATATTTATACAATACATATATACAAAATTTGTATATATATATTGCATGTATGTATATGTATATTTATACAATATATATATATATATATATATATATAATATATATATATGTACATGTATACATACACATACATACATACATACCTGCATACATACATACATACATACACACACACACACACACACACACACACACACATATATATATATATATATATGTATCGGTCCATCCATCGATCTATCTATCTATCTATCTATCTATCAATCCATATATCTTTTATCTTTCTATCTATCCATCTATTATATACATATAAATATGTTTGTATAATTGTTGACGTATATGTGTAAGTATGATACCTGCGGATAGGGGTCGTTTCCCAATGTCTGTAGTCTCCAGAGTTGACTTTGTAAGTTGAATATCAGCAGTAGACTCGATTTCTTGACTCATGATGCCAGATACTGTATGTTTAAACAAACTAGCCCTTGTATGCACACTACTTCTTTTCAAAAATCAATACCTGCTGCTGTTATACTCTAGCAGTCGTTCGGTGTATGATAAGTTACAAGTTTCAATCGTCACATATAGGATATACGACAGTTCGCTCAACAACGGAATTTTTTGTCTTTAAAAAAAGGCAGTTGCAAACTCTTCTGTTGCGTTAGGAGGCTATGACCACGCACTCATCATGTGTGTTGTGGCTTAACTGGTGGCAGCTGGCTTGTGATGGAAAACGAAAGAGTGTAACAAAGGTTCGCCATATTTGGCAAAAAATAGCTTTCCAAACAAATGGGGAAGAGCTACTACTTATAGAGAGAATAAGTATAACTACTAAGAGAGTAAGAGTAGAATAGAGTATAACTACTAAGAGAGTAAGAGTATCCTGTCGAGGACTGGAGGGATCTACTGATACCTGTAAAGATTCTGTAGGCAGAACTCAAAAAGTAAAATACTTCGTACATACCTAAATTAACTCAAACTGTGCCTAAACAGTGAACTACTCTATAGAGAGTATTTGTTTAAAAAAAAAGAGATTCTAAATAGCTCGTACGAAAGTATTTCGGTACTCTGTATGTATGCACATAGTCTGTAGTCTTTTAATTGATCCGTGTGTAGGGCTATGTGTATGTATATATATATATATAATATATATATATATATTTATATATATATATATATATATATTTATATTGTAGGCTACCGCCTACCGGCCTGTACTACTGTATCCTGTAGGAGTGTAGGGCTTGAACTTGGGAGGCTTCAGAGTTTCGAGTTTTGAGTTTCGCCCTTCGTCATTCGTTGTGGGGGACGGTGCCACTGTGGTGATTTGAGTGTGGTCATCTGTGCCTCTGTGGAACAGACTGTGGTCTGTTGAGAGTTTTGTACTTTTTTGTGTGTGTGGGAGATTTCAGATTTTGGACTGGGGAGTGGGGAGTGGGGACTGCAGGGGCCTCACGGGAGATAAAATCATACAAACAATAAAACATTACAATGATTACATATATTTTTAAAAACAAACCAAAAGAGAAAAAAGGCTGTCTACTCTGAACTCTGAACTCATTTATGCACAAACAGTATTTTGTTTTCAGATGTAGTAAAAAACAACCCTTTTCATCGACTCACTGTCTTTATTTTTATTTTTGAAAAAACCATAGCCTTCTGAAAATTAAACACAAAACATGTAGGAAACAGTACACTGTATTTATTAACTATTGGCAAACTAAGGTAGATGTTTCACTACCCAGATTCCTAGTTACAAAAGAGTCCTAGTCTAGGCCGGGTCGGCTGGGGTAACTCTCTCTCTCTCTCCCTCAGAGAGAGAAGATGAACTGACCTCTAGTCTTCTATGGGGTCCTTACTCTCCTGCACAGGGTGCAGGGCTGGCCGCAGGCTGCAGCGCAAATCTCGCAAAGGGCTTTAGGGGCGTGTGGTTTAGATTCCTTTTCTTCAGGATTTAGGGTGTATAAAAAATTGGGTTCCTTTCTTTTTTTTTATAAAAAACCCTTCGAACATGCCACAAGCGGCCTTTCTCACAAAAAAGTATCGTTTTTGTTTAAAAAATACAACACCGAATACAGTCCCTCTAATATTTTATTTAGAGAGAATGTGTGCTGTTGCATAGCCTTCTGAAAATTACACATTTTCAGAAGGCTATGGTTTTTGGGTCAGAATTTCCGGTCAGAAATAATATAGGATGTCTTTTAGTACAATTTAGCATATGCACCCGTATATATAATATGTAGTATTAAATATACAATATATTAGCATTTACACACGTATATATGATAGTAATGTACAATATATTTGCATATGCACACGTATATATGAGTAATATACAATATATTTGCGCCCCCTATCTTGTTGAGCTGATGCGCGGGCGTCGATCAGCGTTGTAGCTTTCTTCAATCACACAGACGGGAATGATTACAACGTAGCGACAAAGCAGATGAAGAGATCTAGGCCCTGGGGGGAGGTGCACTATTAGGCATAGCAGAATCTACCGAGTCACCCAAAGTATACTGGCGCCTCAAAGGCTATGGGTTGCTACATCACGTGTGTATTCCTAGCAATTTCTCTAGTATGATTTGGCTGGAGAATTTTGTGAGATATTTATTATTGCAAATCCTAAGTTGGAAGACGACAAACCCCACCCCTATTCCCCACCCCCTTTATATATAT